CGGTGATCTGCCCGGTATTCGGAATTAGAAGCCGCAAAATATTATACAGTTATGCTAACCAGTGGAGTATGATATTCTGTGAATGTCGTTTAAATACTTTTGATTCTCATTAATTTTGGCAGACATCATCTTGCAATTCATGCTTACTGACTGAAATACACGTACTTCTCACCTCCGTTTTGTGAGCTACAAGGGCTGCCCGACTCATCATACTTTATTAAATTCATTAGTTCTAATTATGTCTACAGAAGCGTACAGATAATGAAGGTCCTTAATAAGTAATTCTCTTCATCTTTCCCTTACTGGCTCTCTCTTACGTTCAAGTACTACCCCCAGCACACGCAAACAATCTATGTCCATTTCCGTTACGGCGATAGACGCTTAAATTTCGTATTTGTTAAATCTGTATTGATTACACAAATGTATTACTTATTAATTTAATAAGCGTGGGAAAGAATAATGTTGACCTAAAATAGGGGAATTGAAGAGCTAATAATTTATTTATTAATATACGTCACCATCTTCAGGATAGAGGGCAAACCAGTTTTATGTTCTGCATCTGCATTCAGAAATTCTAGGCAACAACATGCTGGAACTGGCATAACTCAGAATCTGTGTAATTATTTCAGGTTCCTAATGTAAGAATCCTGCCGTCTGTTTCCAACTCACGTGATGTTGGTTCAGATGTTTTGTTGTTGAAGTTTATCATCTCTACGGTTGAGACACGCCACTGCTATCGGGCCATATTCGCTACTCACCACTCTGCAGAGGGCGGTGTTATCTGTATGGGAAAGCAGAACAAATTATTGTCAGCAGCAAGATTTCTAGATAACACAGATCTACTGTGGCTCTAAAGCTTGAGGAGGAATTGTGTTTAAGATTATTATTGGAGAACTTGTTTCTCTACGGGCCTCCTCGTCCTTTTGTTGCCGTTTCTTCTTGTACTACTGCAGTATTACAGCAGCAGTGGATACAGAATGTTCCTAAACAGTTAGATACGTTCCTAACAGGAAGAGATTAAAGTTGTGAACAAACGAAGAGGAGAACTTCACCAAATATAATTAGAATGACCAAGTCAAGGAGGATCGTGTGGGCAGGTCATGTGATACTCATGCGGAAGAGGAGGAATGCGTACAGGATTTTGGGGTGGGAAAACCAGAAGAAAAGGGCGAGTGGAGAGACCTAGATGTAGGTGAAAGAATAATACAAAAATGGGTCTTAGAGATATAGGATGGGGTGGTATGAGCTGAATTAATCAGGTTCAGGAAGGGAACCATTGGCGGGCTCTTGTGAACAGGCAATGGGCCTTTGGGCTTCATAAAATGGGAAATTCTTGAGTAGTTTAGCGACTGACGACTTCTCCAGAAGGAGTAATAGTTAGTTAGTAGTTAGTTAGGTGTTAAGATGAGAGTGTATGCAGTCAGATAATGTTACTTTAGTTTTCAACATATATATAATTTTAAGCATAGATCTGGGATCATAATATCAGAGATTAAAATAAAGACTGAAGCCAATTATGACAGCATTCGTTTTATATTCTTGAAACAAAAAGAATTTGGCGATATTTTATTTCCTGAAAACTCAAAATAATAATTATGTCACAGCAATTTCAGTGTCTGTTCGTGTTAAAGTTATTGCTAATATAACAAAATAATTATATTCTACGCCGATCACAATGGCTGCACAGTCTAAGGCATGAACTGTCTTCGATCTCTCAAGCACTGGGATTGTGGGTTCGAATCCCCCTTGAGTCATGTATGTCTGGTTACATTTATTCTATGTTTTTGCCGTTCTGTGTGTAGGTAATGACCTTACGACGGGCTGCTCTCCATATCAAGGATTTATAATGACTGTGTAAAGGATCAAGAAACTGAGAAAGCTGCCAAGGTCCAACAAAGGGCTGTAGAGTCGTAGAGAAATAAATGGATGGATGGATAAATGGATGGGTGGACGGACGGACAGGCAGACAGACAGATAGATACATCGATGGGTACATGTATAGATACATAGACAGATATACAAACAGTTTATATTCTACTCTGACAATCCCTTGTATTTTGCCCGGTTGAAAAGAATAAATTTATGTTAAATATGTTGGTGGAAGAAATTTTTGAAGAAGGTAACTGAACAAGGGGTTATAAAAGCTGAAATATCTCTGAACTAAGGGAACTGGAAAAGAAATTCTGACCTAGTAGCAAATATTAAAAGAGAAATGTTGGAGTGTTTGGTGAAATTGATTAAAATGGGTCAAATCATAATGGCTAATACAGGTAAGAATTTTGAAAATACGATAGAAGGTAGCAGAAAAGGAGAAAGACCCAGACTGAAATGACTGGAAGATGTTGAGAATGATTTGAAGGAGATAATAGTGAAGAGACTAAGGCAAAATAATAATAATAGAGAAGAAATTATGTTTCGTTAAGCGGGGAAGGTTCTTAGAGTATCTACAGCCAAGAAGCAAATAAGTAGGCTTTACATAATTCAATATATTATTTCAGTACATAACAAAAAAGAAGAAAGCCGGTTATATGCAAATGTTAAAAATAACGATGAGGACACGTGACACCGTAAAAGACGATACTTTATCGACGTGACTCTGTGTAATACAACAATAGAATCGTCTAAAAGAAAACAGAACTCGATCTATACGTTACAATATTCTCTCTGATTTCGTAGTCAGTGTTACAAAAAATTGGACGGACGCTGGTTGACGTAAGTTAGGAGAAGTCATCATAATTTTATGTTTTGCGAAGCAGACTTTCATGTGTTGTGTCTGTTATCCAGTAACACAGGCGCCATATCTACAGGCCATGAAAAAGCTTATCCTATTCCATCTATTTGTGACAGGTTTCTGTATATAAATTATTCAGCAGATTACGAGCACGAAATAAAATTCACAGAACTAAAGGTAAAGGTGGAATTGCCATTGTGCTTAATTAATTAAGCATCACGCCATGAAGACGTGTGGGATGGGGGAGGTATAGCACTATGCATTGTTAACCTTCACACTAGATGTAGGTGAGTGGCCAGCCTCAAGCCTATGCTGCTTTACCTCGGGTAAATTGTCCCAGTACCCAGTATATGAGACTGGGTGGGTTCCGGAGGCGGCCTAGACACCGTGACGAAAAGTTTCTTTCTCATTCTGGGAATCGAACCCCAATTTCTCAACCGTTGAGTTCATAGCCCGTCTCTATACCGACTGAGTCAGCCCAGCTCCCAGCAAGTCATATAAATAAAGGTGACTCCAAGGTAGTGAGTAATAGACAACATTCATGAAGCAACGTACTCTACACCATGAATGCAACTCTACATATCAAGGAGTTTATTGCAAATTTTTAAAGTTGTAACTTTGTTAAGAAGACATCCACAATCATATCACACGAGTCTATTCCTATAAAATAACACAACAGGATATGCATGAGACAACAGGAACTTTAAACATTCAGTTTGACGTGAAAATTGAATTACTGTCACGTCAAATCCACATCAGCTCCGTCAAGTAGATGAGCTTCAACACACGGAACATTTTATATCATAGGAGACCGTATATGATTGACTGTGTTTGTATGTATGTAACTTATGTCCTCTGCACACTGTTTCCACGAAAACATGAAGTATTCGCATAAGTATTTCAACAGGTGGCATTTTCAAGTTCGAAAATATGTCACCTGAAAGATAAAGACGAAACTTAGGCCACCATTTTAATGGAGAAAGGAAGGAAGAAAGTAAAGGTACGAAAGTGATAAAACAAGGAGAGAGAGAGAGAAAGAGGAGAAAGGATGAAAATACAAAAGAAACGATACTATCTTGAATTTCATCAGACCCACATCTACTAGAGGTTTATACTAATGTACTACAATTGTTAATATCATGTCGTAAAATTATTTTTAAGAGCAAGAAATTTAAGTGTCCGTCCACATGTAAGAAAACAAAAACAGGAAAGATTTTATGTACATTACTTGTGACATATTAGGTAGTTCGAGCATTTTCTAGAGTATGATACATATGTAGATTGAAAATGATCCTGTAACACTGAAACTTGTCGCTGAATTAATAACGTTCAAAGACATAGCTTTATTTATGGCCTGAAGTTTGTCATTTTGCTTTTTTCAAGAATAGGGCAGATTGCAGCAAGATAGAAGCATGCATTCAGATGTAATGGCTTCAATATGCCCAATTGCACAGGCTGCTTCGCGATTTTATATCATAACTTAGGAGGTTATTCCTGAAATCAATATGAGTGAAAAATACTATGAGCGTATCAATTTGAGCACGAGTCTCAAAGGCTACTAACTATGGATAGGGAAAGTAAATTGTCTTGAGTGGGATAAACACGTTTATTTTAACCAGAAATGACACTTTATATTGTACATCTGTCTCCACCTTGCGTTCACGAACAAGGTCGTTTATGTGCTCTCACATATGGAGGGCTGAGGTTCGGTGATCGCGGTGACCAATTGCGAAGAGTCGCACTGCCAGTTGAGTGACCACTGAAGAATTTGTTCAGCGGCTCCAGTCTAGAAGACCTAAATTAACGGCCGTGGGGATTCGTTGCGCTGACCACGCGACAGCCTCATGAAGCAATCTTCAGGCGGTAAATTTAAGTTTGTAGAATGTAGCGAAGTCGTGTTTTAACCCGAATAAACTCCCAATTAACACGGCAAATGTGTGACCGACTTATCGGTTATATTTGTTGTGTCGACGATAAAGCCTATATTGTATATATATATATATTTCCCCCCTTGGAACTACAGCCCCAGTGGGCCTAGACCTACCTCTATGAACTCCGTTCACTTCGGTTTTCTAGATCTTACACATGCGGTAGGACTCCTTGGGCGAGTGATCACCTCGTCGCAAGGCCTCTACTTGTAGAATGCACACAAACATCCATGTCCTGAGTGGGATTCGAACCCACGATCCCGGCTTCCGAGCGAGCGAAGACAGTGCATGCCTTAGACCGCTCGGCTACCGTGACCGGCATATATATATATATTATATAAATTGTGAGTAATCAAATACAATGACAGAATTATCGAATCCATGTGAAGTCATCCAGATAGGTAGCTCGACCATTTTTAAAATATCTTATATTTTGTACACTTATTTCTACAAATTTTCTTACTTCAAAAATATTCTTAAAAAAAATTAATCCTCTCGGTTCTCCCGGTACAGCCGTTTTTATAATGCGAAAAAAACGCGTTTTCGACTGAAAGGAGGTTTCAATTATCTTCCATATCGAGAGACTCCAATTAAAAAGAAATAGCTTCCTCATGATATGGACTACAATTCATATTATTACAAGTTTTTACTTAACTCACTTTCTCTAGGTCTAATTAAGCTTGAAACTTACCTATCGATTTTGGGAAAAAGCTATTTTTGACCTTCAGAAACCAATGGTAGGGGAAAATATCAGATCTGTACTTTCTACCCTTTGTTGTTTTCTACATGGGAAATATATTCACGTAGTTTTGAACCCCGTATCTATTTACCAAATGTTCCAGGAACTTCCATATTTTGCTCTGGGCCCAATATCGGCCATTTTTAATATCTCATTACTCCGGTGGGGAAGCTCCGAAAATTTTGAAACTTATATAAAATAATTCCTGACTAATGTGGAGTTAAAATTATAACTTTGTTAGTCTACTAATAGCAAAGCTGTGGGCACTTTAATTGTTACCAAAAAAATAACTCTTCAATAATTGGCTTACTTGCATCCAATGGTATTAATGGCTCTTTATCCGGTATAAAAGACGAGAGATCTATCTTTTTTCATTCCGAGCA